AGGGAAGGGAGAACATCTGCAACAGGTACTTGAATCTTCCCAATTTGCCCTGAGAGTAAAAACTCGGATTTCTGGGAAAGGGAACTGTTCTACATCAGCCTGAACTCAAATGTGCAAAATACAAACATATCAAAGGAGTACCTGCGTTAGTTTGATTCCTGGTTCTCAACCTAGCTCCATGCACTCCCTACCACCTGAAGGAACCACCGGCACCTCCAACTAAGCCTCAACCAGCATGAGGCTGGGAGCATGGACATGGTAAGACAGGGCTGGCATCTTCAACAGGGCAAGCAATAGCGCTATGAGCTTGTGGTCTTGGTAAGAGGGAGGGGAAGGCAACTGGTGCCCTTCATGTGGCCTCACACAGAGCTTAATAACACAATCCAGAGCGATGGGAAAGATGCCTTTGGGACAGTCAAGACCAGATGGAGGTCTTCAAACTGATCTGAAAGGGGAAATCCTGACTGGGGTAAGGGCTTCCTGTATCCCTAAGTAACAGCCTAGATTCTTGTCTCACATTTCTGGCAGCACAAGCCAGCAGACTGGCCAGCAGTCAAAACAGAAGGGACAAAGGGCACAAGCATCAAGTCAAAAGCAGCTCTTGTTATTCACTCAGGCTGAATATTCCTACCTCTTCTCAGGCTACAGGCTGCAAGGGACAGAGAAAGGTATAAAACCTAGACTGCAGACTAGGGAATGAAGAAATCAAGAGGACAACATCTAGAGGAGCCCAGGATCAGTACCTGCTCTGGAGGGTTGGTGGAAACAGGGGAACTCCATCTGTAGAATATAGGCGTGAGAATGGAGTCTGTCAGCACCCACTCATGGTTAACTCAAATTGTCTGCTGAGGGGACCCGCCATATCATGGTGTATTCCTAATAGATGAAGAACAACGGGAGTTACTCTGCAGAGATGCCACTGTTTCCAAAATTCAACTGCTTTCTGACCAGGATGAGCAAGAAGTCTCCTGCATACTAATATACTACAAAGGTGGTGATTAACCCGTGGTTTTTGCAGGGAAGACCAGTATGTACACAGCTCATGAAGCACTATGGTACGGACAGAAGACTTTTTCAGGGACTGTGTGCCCAGAAGCTTTAAACAGGGAGATTTTTTTAATAAGCATCAACATCAGTGAAAGTGGTGCACAATGTTAGAAATGGGACCAGTCCACCTGTCTGGAGAAGACAGAAGTAACCAAGCATTTATGATTCTGAATGAGAACAATGATTCAGCCTCTGCACTTTTAGGATAGAACATTGGGCCCTCTTCTTTTTAGCGAAGTACGGAAAGCAGAAACCACTTCCATGAGATATTGTTTGTGTAACTCTTGGCAGAAGTATGGAATCTATTTCTCCCTTTATCAATGTCCTACTGGCTCCGATCCTCAAGGAGAAAAGGGGCAGGACTGTGACATACAAACATTTGTGGATTTAATTTGGTGTTCATTTCAAAGTCTCATCACTCTACAGTATAAAAGGGTAAAGCTAAAGATGCTCTGTGTGCACTGTGAGGCTACTCAATCCCATGCTAGATGTACTACCAGGAAAAAGAGACAGATGGCAGGAGTTAAAGCAGAACACAAATGGAACTTCCTATGCACCATATGCTAATGTTATGAGTTAGAGCTGAACAAGTCCTCGTATCGAAACAACAGGGAGTGTAGATATCCAAGGACTTCAGTGTGGTCTCAGGGTTTCTCAGGGTGTGCAAGGACAGTGTACAAAAAACAGCCAAGGAGGAGACTCTTCCATAACTGTCTATGCTCATAGGAGTCCTTGAGATTGGAGAGATCAATGGCAATGGTCACAGAGGAAAATACAGTAATAGGAATATGGATTTCCTCAGAGGGAAGTTCTAGTTACTGGCTATCCCCTGATATAACAGCTCTCAGGTTGTCACTTGTCTTTTTGTGGAAGCTTACCTGTACATGGTGACAGCTGTCAGATAGGTACTTAGCAAACAGGCTCTTTGCAGTTCTAGAGCTTTAAAGAAAAGTCTTTCAGTTGAGGAAGCTTAACTGCTTATCTGCAGACATGGCTTTAGGTGGCCCTGTCAGTTAGGAGAAAGTCATGCAGACATCACAGAAGAATGCTAAGTTAGAAGTGGTTACGTTTTCTTTGAAAAGTTGCTGTTGTGCACCCTGCTCGCTTTAAGGGCATGAAGGCCTACATCTGGCTCAGATCTTCATTTGCATTGCTTTACCTCAACATCCTGACACCACCAACCTGCTTGGCAGAACCAATGCACACAGGCATGATACCCTCAAAAAAAAAAAAAAATCAGCAAGTGCTGTGATTGTTAGCAGTGTTTCCTAGCAGGTACCAAAAAGGACAGAAATCAAAGACACTGTGGCATAACAGCCAGGCCAAAAAAAAAAAAAAAAAAAAACACCCAGCTCAGCATCTTATTTCTGAGTGGCAAAAGGGCAAAGTGACATTTCTTTGACCTGCCCCTACAGATTTTGGCATCTGCTGGTTTGAGGACTTCCTCTGTGCCAGGACAAGAACCTTTGTGCTTAAAACTCCTCAATGAACTCCTCTTTCAGCAATTTGATCAACTGGTGCTTTGAATGGGTACAAATTTGAAGATCCACAGCAGCTGGCAGCAGCGAGTTGCTGTATGATCTGAAGTAGTACTTTCTTCTGTATTTCAAAACTGCTACTTGCTGGTTTAATTTCCTGATCCCTTTTTCTGTATCAAAAGAAAATCCTCTTTCTTTAGGAGACTTCACCATTCTTCTCTAGCATTACTCTCCATCTCCCTACAGAAGATACAAATTAGAGTACTTATCCAATTTATTTCGTATTTCTTAGCCAATTATTCACTCATGAGAAGAGCTTCCCTCTTACTCTAGGGCAGACCCTGTAACAACAGATCTTGTGAAGCAAGGTTGTTTCCCAAGGAGAAAGAAAGAAAAAAAAAAATTGTTTCACCCTTACTCTGTACTTTGGTTTATCATCCTTTTTATTTTCCTCACTTAGACTCAACCACAGTTTTTAAGTAGGCCTGCTTACTTTTAATAGTTTCCTTATCCTGATGTGAACCACACTGGAAATGTTTTGTTATTGTTGCTGCTGTTTTGTTTCTAAGTTTCCTCAAACCTTTTTCTCAAAGGTAAGAGGCAGCACTTGCTTTGACCACCTAGTATAGAAACTTTAAGACAATCTCTTTCAAAGCACCTTAAGCTTTTGGCTGCCACTTTACACTTTTTTTTTTTAAACAAGCTTCTTAATTCTTTTTGTAACTCTCTTTTTTTAAAAAAGGAGAATACTGCATATTATGGTCACTTCATACAAAGCAGCTTTTAGTAAGAGAATATAATTCAGTCCTGAGAGTGTACAGGACCTGGTTCAAAGAGCTGTTTCTCCTGGGTTGTATGCCCAGTTACTCCATAAAGCACTCCTACCTTTGTAACCACCTTGATCTCTCTCAGCATGTTGCTGAGTTGCCAACCTGATTGAGCAATTCAAGACTGTAATATGAAATACTATGCTTTTTCAAGTTTGGCCTGGAATTACAAGTTGCAGGGAGTCTGTGTTACTTCAGTCATCTGATTTGGCTCTACATTGTCTTCAGTTTACAGCAATATGCACTATTAATTTAAGCTACTGTTTTCATTACATAATTTGTCCTCCTACTGGAACACGTCTTGCTGTCTCTGCTAAATGACGATCACGTATTAAAAGAGGTAGGTAGAAAGAACAGAGAGGTCTTCCCTGTGGATTGTACTGCCCTCCACGACCTCCTGTTTAGCACTCATTCCCTAGGGAAGCCTCATTGTGTGAATTTTGGCCACATGACAAGATGTGTAAAAGACTAGACTGAGAAAGGGGTGGAGATCTGTCATGGCAATATTGGACAGAGCAAAGGCATGCACAGGAAACACTGCTATCTCCTATGACCTACTAGCAATGAAAGAGGAGGAGTAAAGCAATACAAAGAGTCAGCACTCAATGCTGATGGTTTAGATGAATCAAGACATCCACAGTCTCTTTGACAGTTCCTGGTGGGGGAGCATGAACATCTTTAGTAAAGTAGCTCTGACTTGCAGCAGTGGAACTATGCTTTGGAGCTAAGCTCACAACTGGTGATATTTATCAAAGATCAAGTAAGCCCGCTTTCTGTGTCAGCAGTAGAAAACTCTGGGGAAAAGCCACTGCTAATAGGGCAGCTGCAAGAGCAAGTACTTTGTGACAGTTACTTCTCAGGGTTATCTAAAAAAATGCAGAATCCTTCACAGGCAGTTTAGTAGGTAAAGCTGTAGCCAGTATTTTCTGGCATGGGGACACTGCTGATCACTCCTTACCTCACAGGGCAACAGTTGACATAGGAGATCTTCTTTAAAGATAAAAGACATTGGTAGGGCCAATTATTGGAGCAAGTCACAATCAAACATGCTCAAAGGTAGAGTGTTTACATTTGATTCACTTAGAAGACACGTTGGTGGCTACTGCTTGGCACTGGGACACATTAAAGGGATAACAGGCTGTCAACATTGAAGAATAATTTTGCTAAGCTATAATTATCAGTAGCAACAAAAATCAGTTCCATGACATGGTGTTATAGGAGAACAAAAGGACACCACCACAGTCTGCTGTGAAGCCTGGGAAGACGACACTGACAAGGAGCTGGGTGATGGCTCTGCATATCTCACATAGCACAAGAACACACAGGATATAGGCCTGTTTCCAACATCTCAATGAAGATTTTAATTTCATGTGCTCAAGGACTCCATGTGCCACAATTCAGGTCTGCTGAGATGAACCATGAAAGAAAACCTAGACACGCTTAGCTAGGTCACTGCTTCCTTCCTCTTGTGGGTTTTTTTTTTTATTTGTTTGTTTTGCTTTTTGAAGTAATGTTTACCAATATTGAAATAAAATGCACAGCAATTCTTCTAAATTAACAATTCTTCTTAACATAAAATATTTAAAAAGCAATACATCAATGTAGCGTTTTACCAGCTTAATTTATACTGGCTTTAAGTCTGATTAAGTTGATTATAATGGTTCCACTGCCTCTTGGACTGGCTGCCCTATTAGCCTTTCACTACTAGTAATAACATCAGTAACAAAGGCCTGTAGAATTGCTAAACTAATCCAACTGTTAAGTACTGAAAGAGTAATAGGTATATAGTAGGGTCTGTCAAAAGAAATCTGTCTAGTTTCCTTGACCTCTACGCTTTGAGTACTTTGCAGCTATAAAAGTGTGTATTACCATAAGTTCTGTCCCTGCTTGGGTGCAGTGGTCTCTGCGGGAAGGTCTGCAGCATGCACAGACCGGTGAAGCTTGCTCACTCTGCCATCGGTGGCTGCGCAGTCTGTAAAAGAAAAGCACAAGCTCAACTGTATTCTCATTCATCTTCCTCCTCAGTGAGCATTTTCATTTTGCAAAAGCTAACCTATCTCCAGGTAAGAATTTATAATCAGCATCTAGGCTAGCAATACGTTTGTCAGGGAAAGCTAATCCAGCATCAGTTTGCTAAAGCTCACAGTATATGCATTTATAGAAATACAAAAAAAAGTTACAGATCTTTAAAGAAATTACATCATAGAGCTCTTACATAACATTAAGAAAAGCATTCCTACTATTTCCAATACATCAAACTAGTTTCACTTTTTAGCTATATACTGACAAAGTACTTTTAGAACTGAATGAGTTATAAATAGGATGTATTTGTATTTCCAAGCATCTTAAGACAACAGTCTGACATGAATTGAAACCTTTGCTTATTTAAGCCTTTGCAAAAGGAACATGCTGAAATCTTGCACGCTAACTGGGTAAATACACAGGCAGCAGCTAAGAAATTAATACAGCTGGAAGCCCGCTGGTGTACAGGAACATGGCAAGTCAATATCTGAAAAAGTTCACATAAGAAAATATACCCATCAAGGACCACTGAATGACACCTCCTCCAGCTCAATAAGTCACCAAGATGCAGATGGCTGGAAAGTTACATGCTGGATAAAATGTCTCACTGTAGGTTTGCCCTGTTCCATTCTTCTACAGATGTCTACTCTGCCCATTGCCTAAGACAAAGTACCACTAGGTGAGGGCGCTCTGATTTAACTCAATATAGCCTCTCACACAGAGTATTGCTGTACACAGACTCAATGCCAGCCTATGATGTTTCAAAAGCAAGAAACGATCAGGACTAAAACTGCAACTGGTTTCAGATTATAGCATGCTCTTCTGTACCAAGAACCATTTCCACATAGAAACGCTGAAGTTTCCCTCCCCACGGACTAATTTTTGTGCATGTCCAAGTTCCGCCTGCAAGGCTCCACCACCCAGGCTCCAAGTCACCCAGCCAAAATTACAGAGGAAGCACTAGAAGACCTTCAGCTAGTTGTTCCACCTCTCCTGCACATTCAGTACAGGGTGAACAGCCAGCTGAGAGGATGTGCGCAAGAGGGTTATTTGCCAAAATGGCCTCAATCAGCAAAGCCATAGGTATCTAGAAGACTGTCCTGCTTGATACTACTTCACAGGTTAAGGAGTCTTGCCACCATTGGAACTTCTTGCCCAAGAAGTCCAGCACACTGCAACTCAGCAGGTTCAGAGTAAACCAGAGGGACTAGTCCACAACTGAACTCAACCTCACTGTTTGAGAGAGAGGCGATTGTATCCCACGGTCCTTATGTGGTACATTGCAGGCAGTCTCAAGACCTGCAGCAGCAGGAGGGAGATCATCATGAGCATGACTCTCCTGTGTGCAGGCTTCTAGACTTTAAAGAAGGCTTAAATCAGAGTGTCCTCATGAAAACACTCAGACTAGACAGTTCTCCCTTACATTCATGAATTCATTCTAGCAGTCAGACAGCAACAAATGAAATATCCACAGAGAAGCAGGCTGATCGTACCTCCCAGGCTATAGTCCTTTTTAAAGTTGTCTTTTTTCTGATGGGGCAGGATGAATCTGTAGTCTATACTGTCATGTACCCAGCCTTTCTCAATGAACAAGCCAGGAACCTCATCCGAAAACAGCCAATACCTGTAGGAAACGTATATGTTAACAAATACCTGTCTCCTCTTCTGGCTAGTTACACACATCCGCTTCTATTTGCGTATTCGCTGTGCTTGACTCAATAAAAATTGAATGCATGTATATCTTTATATTAGTACAGTTGAGAAACATGAAAAGCTTTTATTAGAATCCATTCTAAGAGCATTCCTGTGCAACAAACACGGAAAAAAAAAATGATGGTAATTAGCTTCTTGAGCACTGATGCAAGCACTTGAAGCTCCACTGGCTAGCAGATCCCGACCTCCACAGCAAGGCCTCAGAAAGCTGGCCATGTAAACTAATGAAGAGCCTTACACTCTAGACACACAAAAAAAATCACTTCTGCTCTCCTCCACAGTTCAATACAAGGGGGCTTCTCTCAACACCGTCTGTACCAATCACTTCTTGGGGGCTGCTATCTCATAAAGCTCCTCTTGGAGGGCAGAGCTGGCACCTCAGGATCATTTCCTTTCCTACCTGTTATGATTACGATCAGTGCCAATTGGGGTCCTGCGAATCACCAGCTTTGCTTTGGCAATTCCATCCTGGAAAGTTTTTTCAGCTGCAGCTTTATGCTTCCGGATTCTTTCTTCCTCTGCTTCTTTCTCCATCTTCACTGTTGGAATTAGCACAGAGAAGTATTAGCATTCTTTTATTGTATCCAGACATCAATATTCTCTTTTATTTTACTACATTATGGGGGTAAAAAAAAAGAAACAAAACACACTTATTGGTGACTTTAGTTAATATCCTTTTAGCACAGCCATCCACCCTTCATTTTGCTTTCCACCCCCCATTCTAGAAAAAAAATCAATTATTAAGAAGTCAAGGCATAAGGATGAACCGGGCCGAGGAAAGAGGAAAGTCTGGACAAAAATTGCCTTGAGAAATTAGTCCTCATTATTATTTCTCATTCTAGATCAACAAAATGGCATCCATTGCTGTGCATCCGAAATAATAACAGGATCGAAGATCTTTTAACTACAGCACAATATACGACAAGGACTTCTGGTCTGGCCAGCTCAAGTGTTGGGAGTGGTCCAGCTGTGACTCCACAGAGGTCAGCATGGCTAACAAACATCTGCATTTCCACAACTGCAGTTGCAGGGAACACTCTCCCCCCCAAGCCTTACCTACCGAAAAAACAGATCTGGCACAAGAGGCCTCTCTTCCAGGCACAACTGTCTGACAACAGTGACCAAGTCACATGTCCTAACACCTCATGCTTTTCCACATATGCTATGATGTGGAAGAGTATTCAAATAGAAACCTCAGGTTTCCCACTCATGACAGAAGTATTGGAATTTCAGTAACTCTCAATATCCATGGTTGTTGACAAAAAAAAACAAGAGGGGAAAAGAAAAATATGAAGTGGACCAAATCCTGGCAATCACAGGTTCCTTGGCAAGATACAGAACAAAACATGTTATTTTTACCTTATCACTCTCTACAATGACCTGAAAGGAGGTTGTAGCGACGTGGGTGTCAGTCTCTTCTCTCAAGTAAACAGTGATAGGACAAGAGGAAATGGCCTCAAGTTGTGCCCAGGGAGGTTTCGATTGGATATTAGGAAGAATTTCCAATGCTTGACAACCCTTTTGGTGAAGAAAAGGCTGCCCAGGGAAGTGGTAGAGTCACCATCCCTGGAGGTATTTAAAAGACACGCAGATGCAGTGCTTAGGGACATGGTTTAGTAGTGGACTTGGCCATGTCAGGTTTATGGTTGGATTCGATGATCTTAAAGGCCCTTTCCAACCTAAACGGGTCTATGATTCTATGTCATTTCACATCTCTAGGTAACGAGCAAGAAGCAAGATAGTATCTGTCAAGAGACAAAACATTAAGGTCAACAGGATTTAGGCCCCTCGTGATAGTTCAAGACTCCCTCAACACTTTTGTTTGTCTCTTTGTTCTTCAACAGGTGTACTTTCACCAAGAACTGCCTGAACGAAAAGGAACAAAATGTCAAATCGAGTCACACTAGCTCTTCAGAGCCTGATCCCAGTCTAACAAAAACATCACCCCTTCATGACTTGCACAAAAGGCTACAGGCAACATTCTGTGTCTTGAGAAAACTCGAGGAAAAAAAATAAAAATGATGAAGAAACGAAGACCTATCTTTCTATCACAAAGGAGGGATTGAAGCAGATGGAATGAAACTATATGGAAGCAGTGAGGTGGAGTTAGGCAGGTAGAAGCGAGTATATAGAGATCATATGTTACCTATTCTTTCTCTTGCAGCCATTTTCTGTATCAAGATAGGTTTGATAACAGTTGATTAGTAAATACCTGGTATGTGTCTGAAGTCCTGCCAATGTAATCAATCCTGACTGATTAGAGGAGACACACTGAAAAACATACCCTCGCATTTGTTACATCAACTCAATATATCAGCTTTTATATAATATACCAAAAAAAATATACCAACTTACAGTAATTGCAGCATCGCAAAACTGTCCTGTTAATCCATACCTGCCAGACACAAGCAGCTGTACAACCCGTATGTCTGTAAACATCAACTCCTCCCTAAACTTTACGACCTCTCCCTATGTCAAAGTACTGAAACCAGAACAAGTAGCAACAGCCACTCTCGCAGTACCAAATGCTTCATGTCACCTAAATCTGAGTCTTACAAAGCACATCAGGAGATCCACATTACAGGAAGTACCATTCTCACCTTCCACTAGGAGACAGAGGCGCTAAGATTCCCCCAGAATTTCTCTCCTTGACACCTTCTCACGACTTGCTGCTGTCACCTGACGCTAGCACAAGGTACACTTCCCTCCTCCTTGATACTCTCCCCTGAAGTGCCAAGACTCCAACCAAAACAAGCCATACTGCCAGCAAACGCTTCAATGCTTACTACATAGAATCATA